TGGAGTTGCAGCTGATGACAATGAAGAACGAGTTTGATACAAAGATCATGGCTCTGAGGCAGGGTATCAACTTCTTAGCCATGGCAGCAGAAGCCTCTGTAGATAGTAGGGTGGAAGAGTTAGAGTAGGAAATAGAACAGGGTAGAAAGTAGAGAAATAAAAGTCCAGTTTTGTTTTTATGAAAAAAACTGGAAACATAAGGAATAAACAGAATGGAACAGAAATGGATGGAATGGATAGGAAAATAGATAAAATTAGAGAGTTAAGAGGAATGGAATGGATGGATGGATATTTTTATGATTTATGTATAGAACTAGTGGAATAGGATGGGAATAGGTGGAAAAGAATCATAATTTGTATAAAGGTTTATATGCTTATAGAATGTTGTATAGGCTTTTTGCAATTTATTGTAAATGAGAAGGAATGTAACAGAAGATCAAAAGTATGTGAATATAAAATGTAACAAAGCATAGGGAACTGTGGTAGAACACAGTATTTACAGATTTACACAACTGTTAGGTGTTGCTGGTAGGGAATCAATCCCTATATTTTAGTTTCCAGTACAAGACTGGGAGGGTATATTGAAAAATTGTGCATTCTCAAATCAGGAGTCTGTGACTTCTGCACTTGGTTCTACTTCAAGCATAGTATCTGAAGCACAGTTGTCTAGATCATCTGTATCCTTGCAACTAGTCCTGTACAGTTCTGCATCTTCCAGTGTTAGTTCTACAGCCTTAATGAGATGTAAGATAGGAACTGTTAAATGTGAATACAGAAAATACAGAATTAGGCAAAATGCTGCAATACATAACTTGGCCACTGCTCTGTCCAATTCTGCTACAACATAAGTGTTTCCTTTCATTCTTCACACTACTATGAACAGTCCAAGGTATTACAGTTTCATCTTTCGTCCTAAGTCATTGCTCACTTTTGAATTGTGGATTAGCACTAGTGTACCTGGAGCAAAGTTGTAGTCCTTGATCCGATTACAATTGACTTCTGCAAAATGCTTTGCATATCTTTCACAGGTGTTCCAAACACATTCCATCATTTGTGTAAGGTTGTCTGGTCTCTTCTGCAATTGTTGTGCTTGTATTACTACCAGTTCCTCTGTTGTTAGTAGTGATCCTTCAGGTGGAACCAAATACATTGCCTTGTTCAGGTCAAACAGTAATATTGGCTCTACTCCATGAACAAGGTAATAAGGAGAATATCCAGTTGCTTTCTGAATTGTAATCCACTCTGCCCAGAACACAGAATGCATGTACTTATACCAATGTCCAATATTGTCTCCTACTGTCTTTACAATTGCTTCCTGTACATCCAAGTGTTTCTGCTCAATAATTCTGTTTGTGCAGGAGTTATATGTAGAAATCCGAATATGATTGATGTAGTACTGTTCTTGCAAATAGTCTAGTACTGCAACATAAGGTGTTCTGTTGTCTGTTACAAGCTCAGGACATGCCCTGTATCAGTATAGAAGTTCTTCAAAGATGAACTGTCCTATCATCCTTCTGTTCTCTGTATGAAGCATGCAAAACTCTGGATACCCTGATAACAAACAGTGTGCATGCACAATATATCAGAATCTTCCTGCTTTCAGCATAACCTTTGTATCTATGTGGATCTTTTGGAAAAGTAGCACAATCTCTAGAATACTTGGTGGAATCAGCACTTGTTGCATCTGCCAAGTCTGACATGCATGACAAGTCCTAATAAAGTACTTAATGTCTTCTGTAAGAGATGGCCACCAGAACTGATCCAGTAAACAGGCTCGTACTGCAAAGATTCCCTTGTGTCCTAAGTCTTTGTGTGCTATCCTAACCAACTCTCATCTCCTGTCCTTATCCAGCACAATCTGATGCTTTCCTTCAGGACCTTGATGCCAGATCTTATTGTTCTGTACAAAGAACTGTACTGTGTATTGTATAAATGTTAGAAAATCAGCATCTGCAATTCTGCTTGGTTTGTAGAGCAAGCCAAGATACTCTTTCACAGCCTTCAGTCTTGCTTCTTGCCTTTCAGCAGTTGGTGATTGTAGAAATCATTCTGCTGTTGTGTCCAAACCCTCAGCCTTGTTACTGTAGATACTGTGCACAACCCCTATTAGCTCTAGATTGTCACCCTCTGCTTTGTCATCTGCTCCCTCTACCTCCTCAGTTCCCACGACTCTGTAAGACTCTCCTCCAGGTTCCTGCTCATGTACTCCTTTGTCTGCTACACCTTCTACTCTTCTGTGTTCCAGATCAGGTTGTTCCAGTTTATCTTGACGTATCCAATTCCAGTTCTGTTTCAGAATAATGACTTCCAGGAATAATCTACATTACAGTCTGCCAGAACGTGTTGCCTGTAGTGTGTCCTTGTTTACTTGAAATGATTTGTCAATAATGTTGTTGTGTGTCTCCCAGCACATTGCATCTGAAACCTGGGACTGTGTTTCTATACACTTGACTAACAAGGCTTTGTGTTCTGTAGCCCTGCAAGTTTCCAGCTGATGTCTGTGTTGTATAGATTCTATTTCTGCTATGTAAAATCTGTATGACTTGTCAATCCAGTCTTTATAGGTGTTGTTGTCTGGGGGGTCTTTGGGTGCTGCTCAGCATCACAATAATCTGTCTGTACACTTGAAGTCTGATGTAGGAATGTGGCAGAACTCGAAATTGAATAGCAAAATACTAGCTATCCAGTGATTGATTGTAGCATTGGGCTGTAGGTCAGGCTTATTGATCATTCCCTTTATGTATGAAGTGTCCATTTCCACAATTAATTTCTTGATGCCTATGAGATATATGTGTGATGTGTAAAGTGCATGATAAAGTCTGAAGAGCTCTATTTTTGCTTACAAATATTGTGCTTACATTGTGTTCCAGTTAATCAATCCAAATCGATTTATTCTCTGTTTGCAATCTAGGTGCTCCTGACTGATATACTATCCTACTCTGATGATAGACAAATCTACTGCCAAGACTACTGGATACTCTGACTCATAGTCAATTAGTGTTAGTGCAGGGCAATGTAAAACTGCTTCCTTGAGTGTGTCCATAGATTTCTGTGCCTCATCATTCTAATTGAATATCAAGTTCTTTTGTGTGAGTCAATTGAGTGGTTGTGCTAACTTTGCATAATTCCGAATAAAAACATGAAGCACTCCTACTGTTCCAAGGAATCCCTGTACTTCTGTAACACTCTTGTAAGGTAGCCAATCCCTAACCTTCTGTATTTGTGATTCTTCAGCCTCTCTCCCCAAATATGTCAGCTTATGCCTAACAAATATTGCAGATTTGTTACAAAGCATTATCTTCTTTCCAGAAAACGTCCCTCCTACAGCTTTCACTCTCTGCAAAATCCAGTTTACGTCCATCAGATGCTTGTATACAAACTTCTGTATTCCCTCATTCTTAGGAAGCGTTTCCTCTGTTCTGTCTGCTGTCTCATATCTTGAGCAGGGTCCAATTACCAGAACATTGTCTGTGTATGGGTTTGTAACATCCAGAATCTTGTTGCAAAGAATAAACACTAAGTCATTATGCAGAATCTGTACTGAGTTAGTGTAACCCATTAGTAATACTGTCAAGCAAAACATCCCTAGAGGTGTCTGGAACATTGTCAGATCTCTAGACTGCTCATCCAAACTCCTCTGATCAAA